ATGGGGATGTCTTAAACTTGTCACCCTTGTCAGGAGGGGTCTAGGTGTGTCTCCCATCCGCCCTTCACTGCTCTCTGCAAGTCTTTTCTCTGACGGGTTTTGGTTTAAGCAGAGGCTGGGGGTGGGGGTGCCTTTTATGAGTCGGACAGGCTGGATACTGTGCCCTGGTTCCCCAAGAACACAGAGCTCACTGGTATCACAGTCCCCTGAGCTGCACCCTGGTATGCGCCTCCACAATCTCCCAGTCCCCAGAGATGTACCCTGGTGTGCACTCCCGCAGATTCCAGAGACGCACCCTGGCTGGCGCCTCCACAGTCCCCAGAGAGGCACCCTATTATGCATGACCTCTCCAGTCTCCCAGCTCCTTGAGCTGCACCCTGGTACACCCCCATGGCTCCCCAGCCTCCCCTCATGTGGACACCCTCAAGCCCCTGAGCTTCAGTCTGGTCCTCTGTGCCCCCCCCAGCCTCTCTCTGCCCCCACTCAGTCTGATCCCAGCTCTTCTGCTCTAGCCAGCTTTGTGCCATGGAGCTGATGTGATGCAGGTGCAGCAGAGCTCAGGAGCTTCTGACCCTGGTCCCAGCCTCCCCCTTCCCCCTGTTGTGGCCAGCCAGGGCAGGAACCCCAGCCTCCCTGGATCATGGGTTCAGTGTTGTCTCTCTGGGACACGTCTCATGAAGCTGTGATCTACTCGAACCCGGGGCTCAGCTGGTGCCTTTTCTCCTCACCCCCCTCCCCCAGACAGCCAAGCGACCCCGGAAAGATGCCAGCAGGGATGGGGATAGCCTGGCTGAGAGAAACCCAGAGCCCAGCAACCTCTTTGAGGTAGTGAGGCTGGCGAAGAGTGCCATGGAGGTAACCACACTCTCTTCATCCCCCTGGTTCCATCCTCCCCATGTCACTGCACTGGAGTATCACTGGGACTCCTGGGTTCTCTCCCCGACTCTCAGAGGGGAGTGGGAGCTGGTGGGTTAGAGCAGGGGGCTGGGAGCCAGGACTCCTGGGTTCTCTCCCGGCTCTGGGAGGGGAGTGGGGGCTGGTGGGTTAGAGCAGGGGGGGCTAGGAGCCAGGACTCCTGGGTTCTCTCCCCGGCTCTGGGAGGGGAGTGGGGGCTGGTGGGTTAGAGCAGGGGGGACTGGGAGCCAGGACTCCTGGGTTCTCTCCCCGGCTCTGGGAGGGGAGTGGGGGCTGGTGGGTTAGAGCAGGGGGGGCTGGGAGCCAGGACTCCTGGGTTCTCTTCCCTGGCTCTGGGAGGGGAGTGGGGGCTGGTGGGTTAGAGCAGGGGGGGGTTGGGAGTCAGGACTCCTGGGTTCTCTCCCCGGCCTTGCTGACTCACTGTTTGACTTTGGGTGCTTAGGCCCTATCTCTGTGTCCTGTGCCCTGCGTAACCCCTACTTCTCCTTCTGTCTCTTTCTTCATGTCTCCTGCCCCCTAAGTCCGTGGTGGACGACTGGCTGGAGAGCTACAAGCAGAACAAGGAAGCCGGGTTCCTGGAGCTCGTCAACTTCTTCATCCGCTCCTGCGGCTGCAAAGGTGAGAGGCCCTGGGCCTGCATCCTGAGATCCCTGGCCCAGCCCTGTACCCACCTGTGTGTGTGTGTGTGTGACACAGCCCAGCTCCTCGCGCTGGTACCCACCTCTGGATTTGCCCCCAACACCTCTTTTTAGGGTGAGCTCCGAGCCCCGTTCCCTGCCTCTGCCAGGGGAGGAACTGCTGAGAGATCCCTGGGTAGTCTGTGGGTTCATGCAGCTTTGTGGGGAGCCCAGGGCAGGAGTCCTGGCTGGTTGTCTCCATGCCGCCCGCTCTTACCTCTCTCCCCTTGGCAGGTGTGGTGACCCCGGAGATGTTCAGGAAGCAGCAAAACTCGGAGATCATCCAGCAGCTGACGGAGCAGTTTGATGAGGTGCCCAGTGTGTGGGGCAGGGGAGGGAGGACCTATCCAGGCAGGGGTCCCAAGGGGGTAGGGGTAGAGTTTCCAGTAGGGTGACCAGATGTCCCGATTTTATAGGGACAGTCCCGATATTTGGGGCTTTTTCTTATATAGGCTCCTATTACCCCCCCCCCCCGACCCCCTGTCCCGATTTTTCACACTTGCTGTCTGGTCACCCTAGTTTCTTCTTCGAGTGATTGCTCCTGTGTATTCCACAGTAGGTGTGCGTGCTCGCCACGTGCACCGGTGCCGGAAGTTTTCCCCTTAGCAGCATCCGTAGCGGGGGAGCACCGCTGCGACCCCTGGAGTGGCGACGACATATTGCGCCATAAAGGGGGCTGCGTGCTCCCCCCACCCTCAGGTCCTTCTTGCTGCCAGTGAAGGTAGTCGGAACTTTGTGCTCCAGCCTTGGCTGCAGCATTTATAGCCTTAGTAGTGTCCAGTCTCACTGAACTTTTTTGCTAAACTTCTTTCGTTGGTGCCTGGCTCGGGGCATGCCCCGTGGCCCAGGCTTCAAGTCGTGCGACTCTTGTCGCAACTCTATGCCCAGAAGCGATCCACACAATCAGTGTCTTTGCTGTCTGGGCGAGGCTCACATTAGTGAGAAGTGTAAAATTTGCCGCTCCTTCAAGCCGCGAACAAAGAAGGAGCGTGAGATCCGACTCCGAGCTCTCCTAATGGAGTCGGCATTAGCCCCGGCACCGGTGTGTCGAGCCGACCCCGCGCCGGGCACCACGTCCTCGGCGCGTAGCGAAGCGCCTCTGGTGCACCATCCTGATTCCGCGCCCGGTACCGCGTCGTTGGTGTGCAGCGAGGCCCCGTCGACGACCCGGCAACGCTCCCCTTCTAAGAAGCAAGGGAAGACTCAGCGGCGCCGGGAGAAAGATTGGGGTGAGGCCAGACCCGCATTGGGCAGCCCACGATCCCCATCGGGACCGAGACCTCCGACTCGGGTGGAGCGGAGTAGTCCGGTGCCGTCCACGCGTGCCTCGCCAGAGGTGAGAATGCCTTCGACGCTGGAGGCAGCTCAGGCCGCGTGCGACATCATGACGCTTCCGGTGCCGGGAGCGCCGCTTCAGTCGGGCCCCCGATCCCGTGGGAAGCCACCACTGAGTGCCCATCAACCTTCTCCGGACATCTCCGAGGTCGAGGCTCCGTCCCGAGTCGAAGGGCCGAGCCACGGACCAAGGTGCTCCTCCACCCCGCGAGCAGGGTCGTCTGTGAGCGAGCTTACCTCCTCGTCTCCGGGAGACCGTAGGGGTGGCACTAAAAGGCGCCGCCGCTCCTCTTCGAGCCTTACCCGCAGGGACAGGTCTCGTCGTCGTCGGCACCGACGTTCATACTCTGGCACCCGCCGTGGAAGGCGCCATGCTCAGAGTTTCACGGGAGTCCCAGGCACCGAGGCGTCGTAGTCTTGGGCGCCGGAGGGAATACAGAGACAGTACTCCCGACTCCTACCTGTCCTCCTCCAGGGGCCGGAGACGTCATGTTCGGGACCGCTCCAGCCGTTCATACGGCACCGTGCGTTCGTCCCGGACCTCTGCCTCGGCACGCAGCCGCCCCTCCTCGAGCCGCTCGGTTCCGCAGGACCAGCCGGCCCTTCCGGGCCCCCTCGCGTCCCAGGGCCAGGCCGTTCCCTGGCAGGGACAGTGGTGCCTGTGGGCACCGTGGCCCCAGGCACCGGCACCGCTGGGACCCCGCTCCGTGGGGGGAGCGTCCCAAGCCCAGCCAATGTCACCGCCTCGGCACTGTGATGAGGCAGTGGGCACCGACCCTCCAGCACTGACTCGGGCCCAGGGTCAGGACGTCGAGCTACCAGTACCGCCGGGTGCCGACGACACCGCGGCATCGCCCTCCTCAGCACCGGATGACTCTGTGGCTGCCCTTCCTCCGGTCTCTCAGGAGGATTTCAAGGCCCACCAGGAGCTTCTCAGGAGGGTAGCATCAAACCTCCAGCTCCAGGCTGAGGAGATGGAGGAACCATCGGACACGTTGTTCAATGTCCTTACCTCCTCGACGCCGGGGCGCGTGGCCCTCCCGCTCCATCAGGGGGTGGCCAATATTACTACTGGCCTCTGGCAAACCCCGGCATCCCTGGGTCCTATTTCCAAAAAGGCCGAGTGGAAGTACTTTGTGTCCACAAAGGGGCACAAGTATCTCTAATCTCACCCAGCTCCGAACTCTCTAGCGGTGGAGTCAGTGAACCACCGAGAGAGACATAGCCAACCCGCTCCCACCCCTAAGGACAAAGATGCTCGCAGGCTGGATTCCTTTGGGAGAAAGGTTTATTCGTCTGCGAGTTTTCAGCTCAGAGTAGCCAACCACCAGGCACTCTTGAGCAGATATGATTTTAACCTTTGGGGATCCCTTCCCAAGTTCGAGCCCTCCCTCCACGAGAAGGACAGGAAGGAGTTCCGGGCTCTGGTTGATGAAGGTACGGCAGCAGCTAAAGCAGCGCTCCAGGCGGCCTCCGATGCGGCGGACACGGCCGCTCGTTCGATGGCCGCGGCAGTCTTCATGAGAAGGGCGTCCTGGCTTTCGCTCTCTGGACTATCGGCTGAGTCCCAGTCGATCATACAGGACCTTCCATTCGACGGTCGGGCCCTGTTTGCTGATCAAACAGACACGTCTGCACGGGATGAAAGGCTCCCATACCACCCTGCAGATGCTGGGCCTGTACGTCCCGCCGGCCAAGGACAAGCCCAGGCCTCACACCTCCACTCCACAGGCTCGGGGCAGATATGAGTCCCCGCCTAAGAAGCAGCGGGAACAGAGGTGCCGGTCACAACACCAATCCCGTTCGGCCCCTCGTCTGGGGCCCTCTAAGGCCAGGAGGCCGGGGAAGCGGCGTTTTTGACTGCTTGCGGGGGGTCGCCGGGCCGGTTGCCAGGTTAACCCCCCCCCAGTTAATAAAGTTCAGGTTTGCCAATCGTTTGCCTGCCTTCAGTCTGCAATGGTTCCGTATTACTACAGACCACTGGGTCCGCAACACTATATCCCTGGGGTACAGGTTGCAGTTTGTGTCGCCCCCTCCCAGTTGCCCTCCGGCCAGGGAGTTGGCGGAGGACCCGGAACATGCGCTCCTTCTGGATCAGGAGGTACAGCGCCTCCTCTCCCTGGGAGCCGTGGAGAGGGTACCTTGGGAATTCCGGGGCAAGGGATTCTATTCTAGGTATTTCCTCATCCCGAAGGCGACGGGCGGGCTTCGGCCCATCCTCGATCTGCGGAAGCTCAATCAGTTCTTGGTTCGCTGCAAATTCCGCATGGTGTCCCTGGCCTCTAGTATTCCCTCCCTAGACCCGGGGGATTGGTTTGCAGCACTGGACCTCCAGGATGCGTACTTTCACATCCACATTTTCGAGGGTCACAGGCACTTCCTCCGTTTCCTGGTGGGTCAGGACCACTACCAGTTTACGGTCCTCCCCTTAGGCCTCTCGACAGCCCCCATGGTCTTCACGAAGTGTATAGCGGTGGTAGCGGCCCACCTCAGGAGGAGAGGGCTGCAGATCTTTCCCTACCTGGACGACTGGCTGCTTAAGGGCAAGTCCCGGTCCCAGGTGCAGCAGCAGATAACCTTCCTGCTACGCACCTGCTCAGCTCTAGGCCTAGTGGTAAACGAGGAAAAATCCACATTAGTACCGGTCCAGCGCATAGAATTCATAGGAGCGCTGTTAGATTCCCGGGCGGCCACGGCCTCCCTTCCAAGGGACAGGTTCGAGGCGCTCAAAGGCCTCATCGCCTCGGTCATGGCCTTCCCAGTGACCACGGCTCGGATGTGCCTTCAAATCCTCGGCCACATGGCCGCATGCACCTCGGTGGTGCGACATGCCAGGCTCCGGATGCGGCCCCTCCAACTCTGGTTGGCCTCCCAGGCCAGGGACGGCCTGGACAAGGTCGTCACGGTGCCACCAATGGTGGTGGCAGACCTACAATGGTGGTCCCTCCCGAGCAACATGCTCCGGGATATCCCCTTCCGAGAGCCCTCTCCGTCCCTAGATCTAGTGTCGGATGCCTCGGACCTGGGCTGGGGAGCCCATGTGGGGGACTTCAGGACCAGGGTATGTGGTCACCCGAGGAACCTGCACATAAATGTCAGGGAACTCAGGGCTGTGCGCCTGGTGTGCCTGGCCTTTCGCCAGCACTTACAAGGGAAGGTGGTCAGAGTCCTCACAGACAACACCACCGCAATGTATTATATCAACAGGCAAGGGGGCACGCGCTCCAAGGCCTTATGCCAGGAAGCCCAACTCCTGTGGGAGTTCTGTATAGCCCACGACATCCTCCTCCGAGCGTTCTACCTACCCGGCGAGAGCAACACGCCCGCAGATCGCCTGAGTAGGGTGTTCTCAAATCAACACGAGTGGTCCCTGCACAGGGAGGTAGCGGAGTGGATCTTCCTACAGTGGGGTGCTCCCCAGGTAGACCTGTTCGCCACCGCCTAAAATCGCCTGTCTCCCAGGTTCTGCTCCAGGGTGGGAGAGGGCGACGGGGCCATGACGGACGCGTTCCTGCTCAATTGGTCGGGGCCCCTGATGTACGCCTTCCCGCCTTTTCCCCTCATAGGCAGGGTCCTACAGAAGGTGAAATCAGACGGGGCAAGGATTATCCTGATAGCCCCAGATTGGGCCCGTCAACACTGGTACGGGACCCTACTGCAACTATTGGTGGCCCCCCCTCGCAGGCTGCCGCTACGCCCGGACCTCCTCTCCCAGGAGGGAGGTCGTCTCCTCCATCCCAACCTGCCCCACTCCACCTGACAGCGTGGCTGCTCCGTGGCTAGATGCGGAGGAGGGGAGGTGTACCGAGGCTGTTAGACGGGTCCTGCTTGAGAGCAGGAAGCCGTCCACACGGAGGTCCTACCTGGCTAAGTGGTATTGGTTCTCTATATGGGCGAGGGAGAGAGGTTCCTCCCCCGCGTCTGCTCCGTTCCAGCTGGTCCTGGACTACCTCCTGTCCCTTAGGACCCAAGGGCTGGCCCCCTCCTCTATCAGGGTGCAGCTGGCAACCATCTCAGCCTTCCACCCTCCGGTGGTGGGACAGTCCGTGTTCTCCCACCATATGACTTCCAGGTTTTTAAAGGGTTTGGACAGAGCGTTCCCTTATGCTAGACCCCCGGTCCCACCGTGGAACCTGAACCTGGTACTGTCACGCCTTATGGGGCCACCCTTTGAGCCCCTGGCCATGTGCTCCTGGTCCCACTTATCGGAGAAAGTGGCATTTTTGGTGGCTATCACCTCAGCCCGCAGGGTTTCGGAGCTTAGGGCGCTCACCTCAGATCCCCCGTACACTGTTTTCCATAAGGGGAAGGTCCAGCTTCGCCCGCACCCGGCCTTCCTGCCAAAGGTAGTCTTGGCGTTTCATATGGATCAGGACATTTTTCTGCCAGTCCTGTGTCCTAAGCCCCATTCCTCCAATGAGGAACGATGCCTACACATGCTAGATGTGCGTAGGGCGCTGGCCTTTTACTTAGATCGAACAAGGCAGAGACAGATGCATCATGGAGGTGAATGCCTGGCTGCGAAGATGGTGTCGCCAGGAGGGCTTTGGCTTCCTAGACCACGGGATGCTATTTGAGGAAGGACTGCTAGGCAGAGATGGTGTTCACCTTTCGAGGAGGGGAAAGACCCTATTTGGACACAGACTGACTAACCTAGTGAGGAGGGCTTTAAACTAGGTTCGACGGGGACAGGTGAGCAAAGCCCGCAGGTAAGTGGGGAACATGGAGACCTGGGGGATGGGTCGGAGACGAGAGGGAGTGTGGGCTATATTGGCAGAGAGAAAGGAGGGTCAGGACAAAACCGGGAGGAAAGATCAAACCAGTATCTTAGATGCCTATATACAAATGCGAGAAGTATGGGTAATAAGCAGGAAGAACTGGAAGTGCTAATACATAAATACAACTATGACATTGTTGGCATCACTGAAACTTGGTGGGATAATACACATGATTGGAATGTTGGTGTGGATGGATACTGCTTGCTCAGGAAGGATAGACAGGGGAAAAAGGGAGGAGGTGTTGCCTTATATATTAAAAATGTACACACTTGGACTGAGGTAGAGATGGACATAGGAGACGGAAGTGTTGAGAGTCTCTGGGTTAGGCTAAAAGGGGTAAAAAACAAGGGGGATGTCATGCTAGGAGTCTACTACAGGCCACCTAACCAGGTGGAAGAGGTGGATGAGGCTTTTTTTAAACAACTAACAAAATCATCCAAAGCCCAAGATTTGGTGGTGATGGGGGACTTCAACTATCCGGATATATGTTGGGAAAATAACACAGCGGGGCACAGACTATCCAACAAATTCTTGGACTGCATTGCAGACAACTTTTTATTTCAGAAGGTTGAAAAAGCTACTAGGGGTGAAGCTGTTCTAGACTTGATTTTAACAAATAGGGAGGAACTCGTTGAGAATTTGAAAGTAGAAGGCAGCTTGGGTGAAAGTGATCATGAAATCATAGAGTTTGCAATTCTAAGGAAGGGTAGAATGGAGAACAGCAAAATAGAGACAATGGATTTCAGGAAGGCGGATTTTGGTAAGCTCAGAGAGCTGATAGGTAAGGTCCCATGGGAATCAAGACTGAGGGGAAAAACAACTGAGGAGAGCTGGCAGTTTTTCAAAGGGACACTATTAAGGGCCCAAAAGCAAGCTATTCCGCTGGTTAGGAAAGATAGAAAATGTGGCAAAAGACCACCTTGGCTTAACCACGAGATCTTGCATGATCTAAAAAATAAAAAGGAGTCATATAAAAAATGGAAACTAGGACAGATTACAAAGGATGAATATAGGCAAACAACACAGGAATGCAGGGGCAAGATTAGAAAGGCAAAGGCACAAAATGAGCTCAAACTAGCTAAGGGAATAAAGGGGAACAAGAAGACTTTTTATCAATACATTAGAAGCAAGAGGAAGACCAAAGACAGGGTAGGCCCACTGCTTAGTGAAGAGGGAGAAACAGTAACAGGAAACTTGGAAATGGCCGAGATGCTTAATGACTTCTTTGTTTCGGTCTTCACCGAGAAGTCTGAAGGAATGCCTATCCTAGTGAATGCTAATGGGAAGGGGGTAGGTTTAGCAGATAAAATAAAAAAAGAACAAGTTAAAAATCACTTAGAAAAGTTAGATGCCTGCAAGTCACCAGGGCCTGATGAAATGCATCCTAGAATACTCAAGGAGCTAATAGAGGAGGTATCTGAGCCTCTAGCTATTATCTTTGGAAAATCATGGGAGACGGGAGAGATTCCAGAAGACTGGAAAAGGGCAAATATAGTGCCCATCTATAAAAAGGGAAATAAAAACAACCCAGGAAACTACAGACCAGTTAGTTTAACTTCTGTGCCAGGGAAGATAATGGAGCAAGTAATTAAGGAAATCATCTGCAAACACTTGGAAGGTGGTAAGGTGATAGGGAACAGCCAGCATGGATTTGTAAAGAACAAATCATGTCAAACCAATCTGATAGCTTTCTTCGATAGGATAACGAGTCTTGTGGCTAAGGGAGAAGCTGTGGATGTGGTATACCTAGACTTTAGTAAGGCATTTGATACGGTCTCGCATGATATTCTTATCGACAAACTAGGCAAATACAATTTAGATGGGGCTACTATAAGGTGGGTGCATAACTGGCTGGATAACCGTACTCAGAGAGTTGTTATTAATGGTTCCCAATCCTGCTGGAAAGGCATAACGAGTGGGGTTCCGCAGGGGTCTGTTTTGGGACCGGCTCTGTTCAATATCTTCATTAACGACTTAGATATTGGTATAGAAAGTACGATTATTAAGTTTGCGGATGATACCAAACTGGGAGGGATTGCAACTGCTTTGGAGGACAGGGTCATAATTCAAAATGATCTGGACAAATTGGAGAAATGGTCTGAGGTAAACAGGATGAAGTTTAACAAAGACAAATGCAAAGTGCTCCACTTAGGAAGAAAAAATCAGTTTCACACATACAGAATAGGAAGAGACTGTCTAGGAAGGAGTACGGCAGAAAGGGATCTAGGGGTTATAGTGGACCACAAGCTAAATATGAGTCAACAGTGTGATGCTGTTGCAAAAAAAGCAAACATGATTCTGGGATGTATTAACAAGTGTGTTGTGAGCAAGACACGAGAAGTCATTCTTCCGCTCTACTCTGCTCTGGTTAGGCCTCAGCTGGAGTATTGTGTCCAGTTCTGGGCACCACATTTCAAGAAAGATGTGGAGAAATTGGAAAGGGTCCAGAGAAGAGCAACAAGAATGATTAAAGGTCTTGAGAACATGACCTATGAAGGAAGGCTGAAAGAATTGGGTTTGTTTAGTTTGGAAAAGAGAAGACTGAGAGGGGACATGATAGCAGTTTTCAGGTATCTAAAAGGGTGTCATAAGGAGGAGGGAGAAAACTTGTTCACCTTAGCCTCTGAGGATAGAACAAGAAGCAATGGGCTTAAACTGCAGCAAGGGAGGTCTAGGTTGGACATTAGGAAAAAGTTCCTAACTGTCAGGGTGGTTAAACACTGGAATAAATTGCCTAGGGAGGTTGTGGAATCTCCATCTCTGGAGATATTTAAGAGTAGGTTAGATAAATGTCTATCAGGGATGGTCTAGACAGTATTTGGTCCTGCCATGCGGGCAGGGGACTGGACTCGATGACCTCTCGAGGTCCCTTCCAGTCCTAGAATCTATGAATCTATGAAGGAGTGCTTGAGGCAAGGATCTGGGGGTTGAGGTGGATCCCAAAATAAATGAGCAAAAATGTGATATTGCTGCCAAAAAAAGTGAACATCATTCTGGGTTGTATTAGCAGGAGTGATATAAGCTCCACTCAGCACTGATGAGGCCTAAACTGGAGTACTGTGTCCAGTTCTGGGCACCACACTTCAGGAAAGATGTGGACAGATTGCAGAAAGTCCCGAGGAGAGCAACAAAAATGAGGAAAGGTCTAGAAAACACAAGCTACGAGGCAAGATTGAAAAAATTGGGTTTGTTTAGTGTGGAGAAGGGAAGACTGAGGGGGTGGGATGTGAAAACAGTTTTCAAATATGTAAAAGGTTGTTCTAAAGAGGTGGGTGATGAATTGTTCTCAACAAGCAAAGGGCTGAAGCTGCAGCAAGGGAGGTTTAGGTAAAACATGAGGAAGCCCTTCCTAGCTGTCAGGGTGGTTAAGCCTTGAACAAATTGCCCAGGGAGGCTATGGGATCTCCGGCACTGGAGGATTTTAAGAGCAGGTTAGACAGACACTTGTCAGGGATGGTTTAGTTCAGTGGTTTTCCAACTTTTTAGGCTGCATACCCCTTCCAAATAATATAATGTACCACGTACCCCCATCTGAGAGAGAGTTGTAATATACCTATGAAAGCAGAAACAAGGTCGGTAAGGGATAACACGGTGCGTTGTCTGCCATTGCAGGATTTTTCTCACATACCGCCTGACGAGAGCTTGTGTACCCCAGTTTGAAAACCCCTGGTTTAGATAATACTTAGTTCTGCCTCAGTGCAGGGGACTGGACTAATTTAACCTCCTGAGGTCCCTTCCAATCCTACAGGTCTATCACTGGGGAGTCCTCAGACCACAGCGGTTGCTGGGGTGGTGTGAGTGTGCCGGGTGGCATGACGGGAGCTCTGGGGCTGTGAGGAGGGCAGCGAGGCCATGGGGGCTGACTGGTCAGGACGTGTGCTCTGCCCACAGGGACCTGAGCAGCAGTGAAGATGGAGGTGGCTCCGACTCAGGCAGTGACTTTGAGGACACGCTCTGGAAAGGCGGCAAGCGGGGCACTAGGACCCCTCTTAGCTGCACCCTGGTATGCATGGCCCTTGCCTATCTCCTCTCCAGTCTCCCAGCCCCCAGAACCACACCCTGTTATGCATGGCCCTTGCCTATCTCCTCTCCAGTCTCCCAGCCCCCTGAGCCGCACCCTGGTATGCGTCCCTGCAGTCCCCTGAACCACACCCTAGTGTGCGTCTCCCCAATCTCCCAGTTGTTACCAGATTTGCCCATTACTTTGGGGTATGCTCATTTATTTGGGTTACTCTTCGTTTTCTGTAATTCTATCAATGTACTGCTTGTGTCATGTGTGTTTTCATGTGAAGCTCTGCTTCTCCCTGTGGCAAGTTCCCTCCCAGTGGAGCTATCCTGCAGGACCTAGATTCCCTAGGGCTGGGTTCCTCCAGCCCCAGAACCTGCTGAACACCCCTCCCCCCCCAAGTCTGAGCAGACCTGGTCAATCAGCACTTTCAAGCTGACCCCTTATATGTCCCTGGACTCACTGAGCTGGATGAAGCAGCACTTTTAAGCTGCCCCCGCTTATGTGTCCCTGGGCTCCATGGACTGGGTCCAGCAGCACTTTCAAACTGTCACCCTTATGCGTCCCAGTTTCAGCACGTCCCTATCCCCACTCTCACATCACAATTGCACCGGCAGTAACCCCCAACTTGATGAGCAAACCCTACAGGATTTTGGGCGCTGCAGGGATCTTTAGCTTAGGTAAAAGAAGCATTGCTATAGAGTATATGGGGGGAAGCTAAAATCACAAAAGAGTAAAGTTCAGCCAGAGAGAGAAGCAACCAGCTTAACCATACAAGTTGGACAGGAATTTCTACGACAAAGTTATTTATTGAATACTAGTGATCACTACACAAGGAGAGCTAAACCAACATAACATACATCATTCAAGGTTAAAGCCTAAGATAGAAAGGAAAAGAGAGAGAGAGAGAAAGAAGGGGGATTTTACCCACTCCATGAGGCTTGAACTGGTCGGGGTTCCCAGGTGATGGTGGTAGCTCAGGGAGACCGGCAGAGCCCCCAGCACGATCAGTCAGGAGAAGATGGAGTCCCAGTGGAACTGATGCAGAGCTTGGATCTAAGCATCAGAACCCTGACTTGGGCACAGGTAGGGATTTTTGTAGGGAAACAACAATGGTTCAAGGGAGAACACTCGGTTTGTTTATGGGTAAACTGATGATGCCAGGGTTTTCTTTAGGCTAGAGTCTAGGAGCTGATCACTCTTGGCTATGGGTGGTGTTTTTTTCCAGGGAGCTCCCAATGCAACTAGGCTGCTGCAGAGTTTTGGATATTAATCAAGGATTCATTACTAGAATTGGTCTGATAATTGCTGAGCTGGGTGTGGGCAGGCGTAGGTCCATTAACATCTGGAGCAGAAATTCCCATAATGCAGTGCGTCCCTGCTTTTCTGGTCCCAGAGTTCCCTGCGGTTCTCTGTTCTTTATTTATGCTAATCCCTGTCCCATCGTTCATGCAGATGAGGCATGGGGAGTTGTGTCTGCTCTCCATTCTGTATGAAAATGGGGATGTCTTAAACTTGTCACCCTTGTCAGGAGGGGTCTAGGTGCGTCTCCCATCCGCCCTTCACTGCTCTCTGCAAACCTTTTCTCTGGTCGGTCTTGGTTCAAGGGGGGGCGGGGGGGTGTCCCTCATGAGTCAGACAGGCCGGACACTGCACCCTAGTTCCCTGAAAACACAGAGCTGACTGGTATCGTGGGCTTTTGGGGCTGGGGCCCGGACTGCCGAGAGGCGGGGGACAGTCTCCGTCCTCTGGGGGGTCCCCTGGGGTCACCGTCGCCTCTGTGGGGTTCTCCTTTGAGATGGGGTCACTGGCACTCACCCCAAGAGCAGGCTTAACCCTTTCACACCTGCGCGGAGGGAAACTGAGGGATGCACAGGCTTTGGAGGCATATTACAGAAAACTCCCCCCCACGCCCCCCCCCCAGGTGGGGTGTAGGGGCTCACGTCCCCCAGCCCGCCCTGGGGAGCTGGCCCGTGGGCGCTGATCCCATCCGCCACCCCTTCCCCCGCAGGTGACGGACGTGAAGGAGAAGCTGCGGCTGATGCGGGGGTTCTGGGTCACCCTGCCCCACACGCTCTGCAGCGACGGGAAGGTGGCGGCTGACGTGACGGACGAGGACAAGTGCTGGAACGGGCAGGCCCGGGGCAGGTGAGGGGGCGCCCGGGGGAGGCTCCGCTGGACAAAATGAGGGGGGACTGGGGGAGCTTCCCCCACAGCCAGCGCTCCTGCCCCACGGCGCTCCCTTCTCGGAGAGGCCAGGACTTGGGGTGCTGGGAGCGTCCCCCAACAGCTGGTGCCCCTGCCCCCCCCCCCCCCCGGCGGGGGGTGGGGGGGGCCCCGCCCCCCCCCCCCCCTCCCCAGGTACCTCCCGGACGTGACGGGGGACGGGCTGGTGAATCAGATCAATAACCCGGAGGTGGAGGTGGACATCGGGCGGCCCGACCTGCTCACCCGCCAGCACATCCTGCAGCTGCGGGTGGCCACCAGCCGCCTGCAGGGGGCCTACGGGGGCCAGGACCTCGACTTCCAGGACACCTGTGAGTCTGGGAGGCGGGTGGGGGGCCCCCCTGGGGGCTGGGGGGGCTGCTGGGGTGTTCCCTGGAGGGGCTCTGCTCCTGGCCCCCCACTCGCATGGGTGATGGGGGTGGGACCCTGGCGGCGAGTGCCTCGTCACCTGTTCTCCTGGGGTCCAGGGCTGGGGGGGTTGGTGTCCCCCACAAACATCCTCTCCAGGCCCTTGCAACCCCCCTCGGGAGGCGTGGCCGGAGGGCCCCCCCGTGTCGCTAACGCGCCCCCCTCCTTTGCTTTTGTTGCAGACGAGGATGGCAGTGGCTCGGGAGGGGGCGAGCGGTACAGCGAGGACTGGCCGGGTGGAGGGGGCGGCGGCAGCAGCCACTCGGGGTCCCGCCCCCCCGACTCCCGTTCGCACCGCAAGGACCGGCCCGGCAAGGGCTCCAGGCAGAACCACCGCGTGCGGGGCAGCAGCAACCGTGCCGTCTCCTGGGGGGGCCCTGCCCTCCCGCTCCTGCTGCTCCCCGCCCTGGCACTGCCCCTGCTGGGGCGGTAACTCCCCGGGCGCCACGAATGTATGGGGATCCCTCACTCGGGGTGCAGCTGGGGGGGGGACTCGCCTCTTCCAGGGGCTCCCCCAGCCTGGGGAACTGGGGGGGGTCAGGGGGTGGAGAGCGAGATGGGAAGTAGCATTAGGGGAGGAGGGATGG